ATCATACAACTCATTCCTATGAAGAAATATTCAAACTCAGAAAACGTACTCTGCTCGGGCTGAAAATGCGTTTAAAGCAATAAAAACTCAAAATGAGTGTCACACCTAAACAAAAGGACTTATGCACACATTTCAACATGTATTTTGTTCAGGTTAATATCCTGAAGCATAAATGAACATTAATTTGATCATACAACTCATTCCCATGAAGAAATATTCAAACTCAGAAAACGTGCTGTGCTGGGGCTGAAAATGCGTTTAAAGCAATAAAAACTCAAAATGAGTCCCCCCCTGGCTTTTAGGCGGGCAGAAGGAACAGCCACACCTCTCGCTTAACACTAGTGACAATATGAGGATATTTTGCTTTGGGATTGAAATTGCAGAGTGAACCTAAAATGCTTTTGTCAAATTAAGTTCACTTGCAAGGGATCTAGTGCATTTTAGGCTTAACCCAAAACGTCAACCATGCCAAATATCCAAACATTTTTGTGGTAATGTAGATGCCGAGGAGGGGGGGGGACATCCGCCCTATTAACGCAACCCTCCCTCCCCGATTTGACCTTAATCTAAAGTAAATGCAACATTCCGAGTTTTAGGCTGCACTGAGCGCGCTCAGTCGAAAGCCCGACGAGCGAGGCCGGCGTGACATTCAAAAACAGCGTCGTTGGGTTTCCGCTTTGACGCGCCAGGCAGCAAGTGGTGATCACGGTCATTGAACTTTGACCAAAAAAGAAAAAAAAGAAAGGACAAACAGTGCTTTAAATTACATTTTTCATCCTTCCCGTCTCTCAGGAAGTTGTTGCTGCCACTCCAAGGCCACAGAGACTCCAAGAGAGTAAACATCGCTAGAATTCCTTCTCTCCCTTTTGCAGGAAGTTTGTTTTGATCTCTTCATTTTCATTATTTTGTCATTTTATTACCTCTTTCAAGCTCCGCCTGTCGTTTTCCAATTTTGTTTTTCTCGGATTTGGTCGTTAACTCCCCACGCCCGCCGACCCCCCCCCGATCCGGAGTGGGGTTCCTCACAGAATGAGAGAGGTTGGAGTTGCGGTTGTTGAGATTGCCCTTTTAACTACATTCTACTGTCCGATGGGAGGTGAGCGGCGACGTGATTGGTCGCAGGAGGACAAGGAAGAGGAGGCGCGGCGGTCTTCCTCACACCATGTTGTGGTGGTTGTTCCTCTCAATGATGTCGGACGAGGGCAGTAGCTCCTTCTTGATGGGTGACGGAGGAGACGGCGCCGCCTTCAGCCTGGGCTTGAACAAGTCGGACACGTAGTACACCTGCCACCGAGACGTGAACGACATAATGAGGAAAAAAAAAAGATCTGAGAAATGATCATCACAATTATTTTGACCAATATTGTAGTCACGATCAATTAATCAAGAGGTCAATTTTCAGCCCAACATGAAATTGTAAATTGTCCATCCATCCATTTTCTACCGCTTATTATATATAT